CCAACAATGACCTGTATGAGGTAGTGTAAATGAGAATGCAAAAGTAATGCTGAGGCCGGATTCTGGTCCTGGAGCTGCCCGTAAATGTAATCTTTCTAGATCTAATCTTTCTAGATTTCTGTTTCCCTATTAAGTCAATGCTTTTCAACCTGTTTTCAGTATCCGAACATTCTGTTGGACTGAAATCTTATGGGGAGAACTGACAGAACAGAACATAAAGTAACTTTCACAGAGTAAAGCATAAAGGGGTGAAATGGAAGGAAGACATCAAAGCACCCCATCCCTGCATACTCTAGCAATGACCCCTGAGAGGGGTCCCCATAGCCCAGTTTGAAAAAAATAACACACTGGGTATATTCTAAGGTTCTTTTAAGGAGCTTTTTCCTGCTTCTTCCTAAAATGGAGGAAGAGGAATTAACTGCATTCAATATACTAATGCTATGACTTCAGTCTTGTTCAGAATCAAAATTATAGGTCAAATACCAACCCACTTTAGGCAAACAACACAGAATCCAAACCCTTCACCAACCGACAAGAGCTAAAATCCATTAACTAAACTTTGCTGCCTCGATAGGATGGAAGCAAGCTGCTAATCAGCTAAGGGGGCAAGTCTTTCTGTCAGTCTTCTAGACTGAAGAGCAGAGATTGGGGCAGTGGCTAAAAAAAAATGCTAAACATCTCCAAAACTGAAAAGTCCTACACTGTGCAGCTATCATTATATCTGGTCTGGATTAACAGTCCTCAGTGACAGAATTAGTTCCAGTCTCCGGGTCAGGAGGAACAGTAGTTCCTGAGCCCTCCAGCAGAACAGGGCAGAACAGAGAATGGACGAGGCTTCCCAACACTATGCAGCCTAAGCTTCCATGCTGCAATTCGTCCCCAAAACCAACGATCCAGCACAGCTCACAGGATACTCCAGAGTAGGCCAAGTCCTCAGGACACCAGGAGGAGTCATCAACTCAGTGCCTGAACCCCACCCCCCAATCAGGTTGGTAATGGGGCGCTGGCCACAGGTGGCTTATTTTGCCACAACAAACGCAAGTCATCACCCTGGCTGGTGTGACTCAGCGGTTAGAGTGTCGGCACACGGACCAGAGAGTCCTAGGTTCAGTTCCTACGAAGGGCACGACCTCGGTTGCAGTTTGTCCCCGGCCCTGGTTGGGCTTGTGCAGGTGGTAGCCAGTCAATGTGTCTCTTTCACATCAATATTTCTCTCTCTCTTCCTCCCTCTCTAACCTCCCGCTCTACCTGAAGATAAATGCAAAATGTCCTTGGGTGAGGATTAATAAAAAAGCAAATCATCACCGAAGACTGACTGACTGACTGACTGGGCTACCTATTCTGATGTAGGGTATTGATAAGGTCTCATTTGTAACATTTTTTTTTTTTTTTGCTTTATTGATTTGAGGGAGAGAGAGAGAGAAACATCGATGAGAGAGAACATCGACTGGCCACCTCCTGCATGCCCCCTACTGGGGATCAGGCCCACAACCAGGACATGTGTCCTGACCAGGAATTTGACCAGTGACTTCTTGGTGTATGGGTCAATGCACAACAACTGAGCCACACCAGCTGACTCATTTGCCACATTTTAAAGATGATATGGCATTTTGCCCCTCCCATTCTCTCCTTTCAGCATCACAATGTCAAAGAATTAGAGTCTGAGCCACTTTCAACTTTTTCTCTTGTTATTTCACTATATTAATGTCAAATTCCAGTCTGTAGTCATTCGTTAATTAAGTGGTCAGATGAGCTGGTAATCTTCCTGTTCCCCCAAAAGAAACAGGACCTTCCATTACCTAGAAAAACAGACACAAGAACTAGTGAAACTTGATTTTAATTCAAAGACACTAACTCAATTAAATTTCCTGTTCTGTGCAATGAGCTTCAGAACATTTAGGAAGAACTGATCCTGGTTCACTGGTATCAACATCTGTAAACAGACACAAAGAGGTAATTGTAAGTTATCAAGAGCTGGGGAAATAGGAGTTAACACTTAATTACCATTGTTTCAATCTGAGTTACCCCATCTTCCCCTCAGATCAACTGGCAGTCACTGTACAATTAACTCTCCATACAGCAGCACATCTACCAAAAGAGCAGCCAAGTCAGATAAATGTTAAGTCATCTACTGTGATGCAAAATATCCACAACTCCATGGCAAGTGGCATCACCTGGCCCTCACCTTTCAGAAGTTTGTCCAAAAGTCCCCAAAGTTTAAGAAACAAACTCACTGGTATCCTTGATGAAAAGGCCAGCACAGCTCCTAGACTCTAAGTTCATTTGGATCTGTGGCATCTTTCCTCAAATACGTTCAGTGGCCAATGCTGGAATCAACAGCTTTGACCTGTGCTCAAGTCTCCCCTCCAATCCACCCTTTCAGAAATTAGAAAAGAGCCACCAATCTACAAACTGGCTGGTGGAATCTCAGCCTATAACAAACCCTTGAAATAAAGATGAATAGAGGACAGCTTAATAATCTATTTGCTAGAGCATTTACAGCCTAGCATTAGGACACAAAGTCCAAAATTCTATAGCCTAGGCTAAGGTCAAATCACACACACACACACACACACACACACAAATCACAAAGGAATTCTTCATTCCTTTGAGCTATTCTGCAGTACCGAGGGGTGGAGTCTATTGTTTTCCTCACTTGAGCTGTTCACTCTAGTCACTGGCTTGCTAACTAAAACACTGTGCATTCAAGTAGGAGCTCAGTAATTCAGTACCTGGCTCTACTGCACTCCCTTCAGTACCCCCAAGACTGCCCACAAAGCTCCATTCCAATTCTGACCATCCACCTATCCATGCTACTAGAGTACTAGAAACTACAACAGTTGACAAATTTCTCTTTTGTTTTCTCCAAACACTAAAAGATTTTATTTAGCATTTCTAATACTAACTACTACAAATAGACCAAGTAACATTTAAGTCTTTCAACTGCCTGGCTCAAAGAACCAGTTCACTCAAAGAACACACGAGTCACTGTTGTGCGGTTCAAAAGAACACAACATATTCTTTCTGCTTTAGCCCACCAGACATGGCTCAAGAGGGCCAAACTGGGGAGGAGTCCTGATTGGGCCTTTCAAGTGGACAATCTGGTCAAGGTGTTGCTGAAAAGTAGCTGACTATTGAAAATGAATGGCCCCAACAAAAGTCAAAAGTCAGTTACATCCCTCAGTTACATGCCAGTCCAAAAATGCAGACATAGTGGGATTGGGCCCACAATGGTCATTTATCTAATGTAATCCACTGAGTGAACTTTTAGCACCAACCCACATCTCAGCTGAGTGTTGTTAGTCATCAGGTAGACCAGACACCAGTAGAAATATTGCAACATAAATATTTGCCTCCCTACAAAAATCAACTTCAAACTTAGATCCTGGTCATCTTTATAGACCAACAGGGGCATATTATCACCACTTGCCCAACCTTCAATCCTAAATTCATACACTGCTGGAAGCAAAAGAGAATTCATGTACTAAAACACATTCAAGGTACTCTTTATGCAATTTTAAATAGCAGCATATAAGATAAAAGTCCTGAAGAAAAAGGTATACTCTCAATTGACATCCACTCAATCAGGAACACAGAGGTTGAGATTTACCTGCTAGAAAAGACCCAGGTGACCATAGCCTCCTCCTCTCCCACTCTCAGCAGGGTGACTTTTTAAAAAAATTATAATAGCCCATCAGTACCTACAAAACAGTAAGTGGTAAGACTCTAGGAAAGGCAAGAGAAAGAATCAAAAAGAGCATCACTCTTATTTGTCTACCTATCCTAAACCCAGCCTCCTCCTCACTGACCTAGGCTCTTTTATTCTCCACTTTGCTCACTAGGCTCTGGATACTACTGCTGCCCCTTCCCTGTCGACCCTCTACCTCCCTACCCCCCTCTCTCCACTTCACCCTTTTCTTCCCAGTCCCCAGAACTTGCCAAAGTCACTCCAGCCAGTTTCTGCACTAGCTACCTAGCCTCAGAACCCAGAAAAGCTCTTCCTCTATCTTTGCAGTGTTGGCTGCTTTTTGGTTAAAGCTTATCCTAAGTGTCACCTCCTCAAAAAGGTGTGCATTGACTACATCCCAATCACCTTCTGTTACATCACTCCTGTTTTCTTTGGCACTCATCAAAATCTGATTTATTTGTTTATTTATTATGTGTCCCCTCCCCAACCCCGATATAAGTTCCCTGAGTGTGTTCATCTTTGGTATGCTCAGTGCCCAAAACACCAGCTAAGTACTTAGCTGGCCATTCAAAAATGCTTGTTGAATGAATGAATTTTGGACCTTTTATTCAATGATTCCAGATTAATTAAGGTGAGACCAGCAGTCATTCTTTTGTTGTATTTCTGTGAAACACCTATACACACTGTTACTTGTACAATCAAAGTATTATATTGTTTTATCAGACCCTGATGGACAGGATGACAATTCTCCCAGCAATATGCACACAGAGGGCCAGGATATGTGTACTCTTTTCAACCAAAGGGTCTCCAAAATTAGACACTATCTCTTAAAGTTCTTCAGAAGACAGAGTTCTAATTCAACAGAGGATTCCCAAAGAAAATAGCGACAATGAAACAGGAGTCATCACACTTCACCGTGAAATCCCTGTGACAGGCTGAAGGAGCAGCTTCTTGGGGATTTTTTAAAAAACCAACAGAACATCAATTAAGAGCCCTTCTTCCCAATCATTCTTTGCTTTCTTCAAATAATTGTTTCACATGTGTTATCGGTTTGTATTCTTCTTCAAAACAAAACTAAACAGGCCGTATTTTCTCATTTAAGACCACTTGTACAAAAAGAACCAGCTAAAGAAGAGGGAAATTGGCACACGCCGCGTGTGCAACTGAAAACTGTGTGCCAGACACACACAGAGAAAAGATAAAAGAGCTACTGTCCAAGTGCAGAAACTGAAAAGTAACATGGGTTTTCTGTTCTCGAAGCGCACCGTGCAGAGTGGGTGGAGAGAAGCACAGAAATCCAGAATTAGCCTACCCTCGAATCGTTCTGGAAAGAGGTGACAACAGGTAAATCCCACACCGAAAGCATCTGCAGCGGGAGGCCCGGCTCCGGCTAGGGGCCGCTCGGGAAGCCGCGCCAGGGCTCCGGAATCCAGTCTTCGCGGGAAGAAGTGTCCATCCGAGCCGGAGCCCGCGGCGTGGAGCCGTCTCGAGGTGACACAGCCTGGAGCCGAAGGACCTCAGAGCCTGTCCTAAGACTGGACGGAGGCTGAACACCGGATTCAGAAGCGGTGCCCACGGTACCAAGTGCCATAAAGAGGAATAAACACACCTCGCTCACCAGCTCCCCACAGGGAAGCTCAGCGGGAACCAGCGGTGTGTTCGGGGGTGAGGGGAATGGAAAAATAACAATACATTGGTCACCCCGTCCCACTCCCGACACAGGATACGGGCAAAGCCCCCGGGCTGGGACACCGACGGTTGTCGTTTGCAGCCACGGTGCAGGGAAAGGCCTGCAGGTCGGAGCCCCCAATTCCAGGGCTGTTAATGATTACAGCGCGGATGGGGGCGGGGAGGGACGAGGGCGGAGGGAGCCGGGGACCCACGCGCCACCCCGCCGGCTCCCCCTCAGGGCTTACCCCGGGCGCAGGGCCGGAGGCGACCGCCGCCGGCAGCTCCGACCCCAGGCCGGCGGAGGGTGCCGGCGGCCGGGAGGCAGGGGCAGGGGTAAGTTTTCCGAGCCCGGCGGCTGACACGCCACAGGCTCGCCTCACCTCCTCTCCTTCCCGAGGAACCAGTCCAGACAAGGCGCTGACTTCCACTCCTCCCCTTCCACCCCTTCTCGAAGGTACCCAGCCCCCGCCCCTCCAGCGCTCCCCCCTTTTCCTCGACTCCCCCCCTCAAACTCACAGTTGCTCCAGAGGTTCCTCCAGTCAAACCCCTTCTGGAAACGACGGCGGCCCGGCGGGTCCAAACCACCTACCATCCCCGCTCGCGTTCCCAGACTCCCTACCCCCGCCGCCGCCGCCGCCTCCTCCTCCACCACGGCCGCCGCCGCCTCCTCATCTGCGGCCCACCGGCCGCGGCCGCCCCGAAGCCCCGCCCCCCCATCGCCTCCCGCATCATCACTTCCGGTAACCCCGCCGGCCGCCGGCTCCCGCAGGAAGAATGGAAGGGGGCGGGGCGGGAACGGGGGCAAGTGCGTCACGACGTACGCAAACACGTACGAAGCCGTCGCCAACTGAGTGTAGAGCTCGAGCGACGCGGAGGGCGGGCTGGGGGAGTTGGACTGAACCATTGGGGCTGGGAGGGGCAGGATGGCGGAAAGGGAGAAGGGAAAGCAGGGAGGGCGAAGGTGGTACCGTTGAGCCTGCGGAGGAGGGCGCGCTAGAGTCTGAGGGTTAGGGCGGCTCGAGGCTGCCCAGACCCGGAACAGTTCTCCCGCGGAGGTCCGCCCGTGGTTCGGCCCGCCTGGCCGGCACGACCCGCGGAGCTCCGTCCGCCGCGGCCCCGCTGCGCTCCGGGCGCCGCCTCCTCCCGCGGCCGTGCGGCGCGGCGCTCCTGGGGGTGGGGGCAGGCGGGCCTGACGCCGAGTGAGTGCGGGACGGGGCCGCGGCTCCTGCGGGGAGCCCGGGGAATGGGGCGGCTGCGCTGGGCCGGGCAGGGGCACGTTGCTAGGAGACGCGCCTGTGTGACCCCAGCCCTGGGAGGGCGGCCCGGGCTCGCGCCTCTGGCCTGGGGGACCGGCCCGAGGAAGCGGCCCGAGGCGCGGGAAGGGGGCCTGGTTTCGGGCCGCGGGGAGGCTGGTGTGCAGCCCGTCGGAGACCGTCCTGACTCCTTCGTATCTCCGAGTGCAGATGGGAAGCTGGTGGGGGCAGTTCCGGGGGGCACGTTGACCCAAACGGAGCCGCGACAGGGGACGAGACTTTCTGGGAGAGGGAGCCGGCGTCGTCGTCCCCTGGTCCCGCAGAGGAGGCGTGGCCCCGCCACTGTGTGTTCGAGTCCGGGGAAAGATAAAAAGTAATCGGTAAGCAGAGTGTCAGCAAGTGAGACATGCCCCCAAGGACAAGGACACCTGGGGAACTGTAGACGACGGGGCAGCGCCACTCTGCCCCGAGGAGGCCAGGGTTTGCAGAGATGGAGGAGAGGGAACTGGCCAAAGCACTTTCTAGGTGGAGACGAGCCGACTGGAAGGGTCCCGCAAGGCGGCCGGTGGCTGGGACAGAATGCCCCGGGGCCTTCCGTTGGAAAGGGGCCAGAGTGGGCTGCGGTGGCGCGGTGGCGCAGTGGCGGGGCCTGGTCAAACAGCCTTTAGCCCAAGGTAAGGGTTTGTCTGTTACGTAACCAGATGGTTTTAAGGAGGAAAGTGACATGATCTGGTTTACATGTTTTTTAAAACGTCATTCGTGGCTGCTGGATAGAGAAGGGTGGTGAAGGCAGTGTTGCGGTTGCAGTGGAAATGAGAGAATTAAAATCACAGTGTATTTTTTTGTTTTGTTTTGCGTGTGTTTCTTTTTTTAATAAGAGAACATTTATTTAGAAGGTTACAAAGGCGAAAGAAGGGCCCTTGGAGCTTAGGAGAGCGTGGCAAAGGTACCGGTCTGGTGGGGAAGAAGAGGGGAGGCGGAAAGGCCAGGAGTACTCCCTGGAGGGGAAGCGCCCACGGTGTATTTTGGAAGCAGAGCTTGCAGGACTTGCTGTTGAATTGGACATGAAGTATATGGGAGAGGGAGGAGGCAAGGATGGCCAAGGGAAAACAGTATGGATGGGAATAACCATAAGTTGTCCTGTGAACATACTAGGTTTGGTAGGTATAACTATCCAGGTGACTGTGTCGAGAAATTCTATTTGCAAGTCAAGGGAAAAGTCACAGAGATAATAAATGTAGTAGGGATTTATTTCTAGATCACCTAGGCCCCCAAACTCCTGGGGGCTCTTTATATTTAGAGATTACCCAGAGAAGGAGAAGCTTGCAAAGGAAACTCTTGACACAGACAAGGCCTCAGAGATAAAGGAAGGCTCCCTTAATATTCTGGACCCACCCTAATAATCAGTGAGACTCATCCACCCACTAGACAGCTTCTACTCATCCTTTGAGGCCTGGCTCAAATCTTTTTCCTCCCTGCCCTGGCAACAATGCTTTGGGACTTGTGCACATGATTTGTGTCCATTATAGCAAACCTGACTTTGCTTGTTGTTTATATGTCTGTCTCCCCAACAGACTATTTCTTTGTGTCCTGCTGGCTCCAAGTGGGGAACCTTACCCATAGGGCTCAACATAGGGTTATAGCGAGGTAGGAACAGTGTTCACAAGATACCAGCTGTGGACTTCAACAACTTCTGAAAAAAAGGGCTTTTGTTCCCCCTGCTGCTGCCACTGCCACTGCCACCACAGTCTCGATGTGGTCAATCTCCTAGAATCAAGAAGGAATATCAGGAGAGGAATCAGAAGGCCTAGGTTTCAGTCTTGGATCTGCTACTGACATCTAAGGAAGCCCCAGAGTGGCCTTGGGGAAGGCCCTTTTCTTTGAGCAGAAGAGGTTGGCTTAGGTAGAGATTGTGAACTGACAAACATTATTCAGCCCACAAAGTGATTTAAATTATTATTTTTTATTTGCTTGCCAACATTTAAAAATTGGACATCTGGAGCAGCATGGCGTCAGTTTGGCTCAAATAAACTCATAAATTTAAAAAAAAAAATAAGAATTGAACATCAAAATCCAGATTTTTCAACTTCATTTGAAAAATGAGAGAGTTGGCAACACCAGCCTGAGGTTCCTCCTACACAGCAGCAGCCACTTGGTGCCCAGGACCAGGTTTGGCTCAATGCTCAACTTTGCCTGAAGTCTCCCCACTCCACTACCTACCTGACTCCTGCAGGCATTGGATTTGCAGTTCTTGGTCTAGAGATATGCTGCTCATTTGGAACCACTAGCAACATGTTGCTATTTAAATTTAAGTAAAATAAAATTTAAAATTCAGTTCCTCAGGTGCACTAACCATATTTCAAGTACCCCATAGCTGCATGTGGTCAGTGGGATATCTCCATCACTGAAGATGGAGCTTGAAGGTATTCTGGGTGTCAGTTATTTCACACAGGTGAAAATGGACAATTATTGTTCCTACTCTCAAGGAACTTTGTGTAGTAAGCTCGGTGCCTCTCTAGATGAGCAAAGTTGCCATCTTTGATGGTTATTTATTTGATAGTTGGGTGGTACTGAGAAACTGCCATGAAAGGCAGTGACCCCTGCATACAGTGAGATTCTCTGTCAGATGGTGGGAGCAAACTGACAGGTGCCAGAAAACTCCAGTCATAGCTAATGTTACAACCAAAGTCTCGGTGATTTCCTAAGCCAGTTCTTTAGGAAATAATCATAAAGGAGGGATTTAAGTGTTAATTTAAATTTCAATGTTTTGTTTTCTTCCACTTCCCTAATTCCTGTGATGGGTTGAAATCCTGGATAGTTATGAATAAATGACTGGGGATTTAGCGTGGACTTCGTTTTCATCTATTTATACCGAGGACACACCTCTAACACCAACTTCTACTTGTGGTAACTGGTTCCAAACCATCTGACTCCCCCACCTTACCTTGTCTTTGTCTCAAAATATGCAGATAAGGAATCAGATACTTCCATTTCTTTTGACTTGATGGCAGAAAGTTGGTTTTCATTTAGAATTGCTATCCCCGAGGGGAATAACAGCTGTAAATATCCTGTTTATGGTAGCCTGCTTGGAGTCCCCTTACCAGTGAGATCTCATGTGTTCCCTGTGCTGTGCTGGTGTATTTAGAATGAGTGTACTTAACCAATGAGATCTTGTTTGGGAGAATTTAAGTCTTTCAGCTATCAGTAGTTTGGGTTTTCCCCTATGTTCTAAAGATTTCACATACTACAGGGCCTAACCTAATTCCTTTAGATAAAATTGAAACATGATCTGTCTTCTCTACTCCCTAACCCCTATCTGACACACCACATTGTCACTTTGTGTGTAAAAAGATACTGTTCAGAAGGTAGCGGTGGTATGAGTAAGTATGCCACACAAGCACATCTGAGATTTGCAAAAGTGGCATCACAGTTCCCTTTTTGGATTCTAGTAACCAAAAATGGAACCCAGGTCAGGAAATAAGTCCATGGGACTTGTGTCAGTTGACTGATGGAGGGGAGGCAAGACATAAGTGTGGGGCACAGATTAACGAAGGTTATTGGATTTGAGGAAGAAGGACCTGCATAGGATATGGGTGTACGCCAGAAGGTCGAGGGTAGAGCGGATCTAGGGAAAAGTGCACTGGAGGGTAAGCAAGGAGCAAGAGATAAAGGAAGAAAAATAGGAAGGGAAGCCTTTGGTGTCGGCATCTGCATTATATTTTCAGTAAGAAGTGTGCTCTGCGGCCTGAAGATAAGCAGTGCCTCAACAGGATTTACTAATACTGAAGAACAATAGCCCTTTAACTGTACAGAGGTTATTAATGATCAGAGAGAAACAGCTTTAGGAAAATCCATTACGACCACCAAGCAATAAATCTGCCAACAGCTGCCCATCTCCCCCCCCAAGCTTAGCATAGATAAAAGAGGCCTTCATTTCCTCCTGGTACCATTTGCCTTTGTTAGCTCCCCTGTGCTAAGCGATTTGCATGGATTATCTCATGAATGATTCTTACAACAGTCCTTTGAAGAAGGTTCTGTTGCCCCATTTTACATTTTCAGGAGGTGAGGCAATGGAAGACCTGCCTACTTTAATGAGTCAGGATTCAAACCCAGGTTTGACCACTGCAGAGCCCATTCATTGTTTGCATTATATCTCCTCTTCCTTACATATGTGGAAAAACTGTCTAAAACTAAGTCATTTTCTACTCTGCTATCAGGGCCAGAATATGTGTTTGCTTTGGCATTGTAAGAACATTTCAGTTCCCTGGGGATTCTCCAAAGACAAAACTTAAAAATGAAAATTTCTGGGTTAGTTTTGACCCTTGATCATTTGGGTACAATGAACCTTATACTCCAAAGGACTGTTTTTCCAAAAATAAAAGTATCGCAACCCCATTTTCCTGTGTTTGGGTCTAAGCTTCACAGAAACATGTAAATCATTTCAGTTCAGTGGATGAACCCTAACCAGCCTGAATGAACTAAAGAGTGAGTCTCCTGTGTAGCTAGCTGTGTGTCTCACACTGCCCCAGAAGGGACTTTAAGGCCTCCTGCCCAATCACACTGAGTCTTCAGTTCCGCACCCTGACACCCACAGCCAGTCTGAAAACAGCATTGTGAGGATTAATTAGTATGTTTAAATGCTCTAGGGCCATCAGTTGGAAAACCTAGTCCAAACATCACCACATATATCTCAAGATGAGAATAGATATTAATGGTGACCATTCTATGTGTCATTTATTCTTTCTTCTAACAAATAGATGTTTTTTAAGCCGTAACTCTGTGCTGGCCAAGGACTGAACAAAGGAAACATAATCCTAGTCCTCTTCCCCCTTCTTCCACAAGCACACGGTGGAGGAAGAAAGGTGACTAAAAAAAAATTACAGTGGAATAGGGTGAACTCTGATGGGAGTGTGCTAGAGGCACACACGCAGGGACGCTGGCCCAGTCTCGGCTTGAAGAGGCACCCGTTGAAAGTGACCAGAGCCAAAGGGTGAGACTCAGCAGCTAGGCAAAGAAATTGTGTGTGTTGGGACCTTCATTTGGCAAAAAGAAAGTCCCAGATCTAAGGAGATAGGGCCTCAGGACTGGGGACCAGCCACCACTGGTGCCCAATGAGCACATAAGACTGATTTCATAATCTCCACCTTCTGCCCACCCCTCAAAATCATAAAGGACTTGCGGGAGAAGTGTGACTTAGTTACGATGAGGGAAAAAATCCATCCAGGGGCAGATCTTGAAAGAATGGGAAGAGCTCTTTCCTTCCACTTTGGGCTTGAGAGTAATGCTAGAACTTGCCTTTTCTGCCCCGCTCTTCAGTAGACGGCAAGGCTCATGAGAGTTCAACATTTGGAATTTTGACATTCTTGAGACCAGAATCATGCTGCTATAAATTTCATCAGGAGAAAGGGACTTTTCACTGACCTGGGCCTGAGGCCAAGGCAACTATTCCATTATTATGGAGGCCCCTTGGCTAAGGCAACTAAATGACTCCATTTTTATCGTCAATGGACCTTCCTCGATATTTTTCCAATAATAAGCTAATTACCCCTAGAAGTAAAGGAATGTTGCCTAAGATAATAGTTGCCCCATGTGTTGGGAGGCATTTGCGGTTTCCGAGTATCTGTATTTGCAGGTACTTGTGAGCCTGGTCATTTTGACTTCTGTAATCGCTGTC